AGGGCGGGCGCAACACTGGGGGTTGCGATCCCGTTGCCGGTCAGTAAAAAAAGACAAAAAAAAAAAAAAGATTTCTTATCTGGAAACTGAAAGGATCATAAAGATTAGCCCAACACTCTCAGATTTCCTTGATGCAGAAACCCAAAGAGGTTATGTATCTCACGACTTCTTATCTGGAAACTGAAAGGATCATACAGATTAGCCCAACACTCTCAGATTTCCTTGATGCAGAAACCCAAAGAGGTTATGTATCTCACCAGTGATCAAACAGCNCAACACTGAGGGTTGCGATCCCGTTGCCGGTCAGTAAAAAAAGACAAAAAAAAAAAAAAGATTTCTTATCTGGAAACTGAAAGGATCATAAAGATTAGCCCAACACTCTCAGATTTCCTTGATGCAGAAACCCAAAGAGGTTATGTATCTCACCAGTGATCAAACAGCCAGTGGGGGTTACTTAGAACACAGTATTCCTACCTTCCACCAGACCAAATTTTAAATTCACCATTAATAACATTATCAAAATTTTCTAATAAAATTTTCTGAGTGTGAAGACAAAGTCCTGATCGACAATTCATTTCCCAGTGTATCAGCCAGGGCCTGACATCTCTTCCCTGCTGGGCCTCCCATCTCACCAAAGTGTGGATCATCCCACACTCAGAACAAGCAAGATGAACTACTTCACCTTCGGATTAGGGTGCCGGCCGATGACGAGGCGAACGGGCCCTGGGGGGCATTTGCTCAAGATGGCATGGACTTTGCTCAAAGCAGCATGGCGAACGTTGACTGAGTTCACTTCCAGGATTTGATCTCCGCGGCTGGGGAGGGTGACATAATCAACACTCTGTAGTAACAGCTTTTTAAAAGCAAAAAAAGCTTTGTTTCTGTAAGAGGTTTATAATATGAAATCTTTTCTGAATACTTTAAAGAAGCAAAGACACCCTTTTATCTTTGCATACGTGTAAAAAGGCAACACACTCATATAAACACATTAGATGTTAAACTGGTAAAGGCTGTTATGCACATCTACAGGCATTTTCAGAAGTGGAAACGTTAATAAATTGATAATAAGGACGACAATGAAGGCTACTATTTCTTGAGTACATGCTATATGCCAGGCATTGTACAAAGCAATCTATATAAAAATGCTTTAATAGGTATAATTATTCCCATTATGTAGATACGGACGCAGGCTCAGAGAGGTCACTCGGATATCACAGGTCTGTCTGACTCTTATCACCATGTGATAGACCCTCGACCACCACCAGTTTCTTTCTTCCAACCATCTTGAAGTGATTATTGTAATATAATTTAAGGAGGAAATATCTGAAACTCAAAGGTTACCGAAGAATTTGTAAAAA